ATATATATATATATATATATATATATATATATATATATATATATATATATATATATCCGGGACACACTAATATAGTACTATATATATTATGTGATACAGTTATTATTTGGAGAGTCTGAATTTTTTTTCGTTGATCATAACTTTTTATATTCTTAAAATATGTTAAATTCTTAATTATTAACTTATAATATTTTTTATGTATGTTTCAATGTATAAATTTACTTTAAAAAATTTGAAGATATAGTACTATATTAGTGTGTCCCGGATATATATCCAAAGTAAATAATTTGACAATATTTTTAATAGTGTCTCATAAAGAAAAAGAAAAAGAAAAAGAAAAAGCAAAAGCAAGGGGAAAAATGAATGAAGGGCATTTTCGGACAATTCGTCACTCCGCTAAAATTTTCATCAACAGAATCCTATCTTCCCTCGCCAGCCAAGCAAAGCAAAAACTAGAAACGAGCAGCAAAGCCAAACCCTTCCGGCGACAACATCGCCATCTTCCCGCCGCCGTAATCCGGCTCATATGACCCGAACCGGTGATATAAAACCTAATTCAGACGGCGAAACCGACACCATAAAAACATCGCCACCAAGAGGCAGGGAAGGTACTTCAGGCATGAGACTCGTTGTACCCTTACAAGGTGTAGTTCAAGGCAGAGGCGGCCTTATTTTAGGTTCACTCATTCCTTGTGCTCTTTTCTACTTCCTCCAGTTCTACTTAAAACGACACCGAACTAAGCCGTCTTCTTCTTCTTCTAATCCTCCGTCACCGTCAACGTCATCGCCGAACCTCGCCGAGTTACCACGGTCGTCTTCCCGTTTGAATCTGTCAACTCGTGGTTCAATTGGTTGCGTCTTTTTATCGTCAAGGGCTAGTTTGGTTGCTGCACCGAATGATTCCCCGTATTACATTGGCATGGATAGGTTCCGAGCGGATCCATACCATGAATTGGATAATCCAGACGGGATTATTGATCTGGGGCTAGCAGAAAATAGGGTATCGTCTATGAGTTTATTTCGATTTTTTTGCTAATTTATAGCTTTATCTTCATTGTTTTTACCGGAGAATGAATGATTTTGCAATGTGTTTTTCTGTATCTGCTCGAAGTTGTCGCTAGATTTAATAGAGAAGTGGCTTTCAAGCAATTTGAACGATTCCATGCTTGGAAGAGGTGGTGACAGATTGAATATCAATGGACTTCTTACGTACCAGCCGCATGATGGATTGACTGAGCTGAAAGTGGTAATGCATTTTATTTTCATTTCATTTTTTTCTGAAATATTTTCTACTGGAACTTGCTCCCGAGTATGGTGAGAGTTCTTGCCTTAAGGCCTGTGTGGTATGACAAAAGTTCTTTCAGCAAAATAATAGAAGGATGAGGTTGGCGAATGGGAAATGGTGTTTGGTGAGATATTTACACTGTGATAGGAGCAAGTGAAACGAGTAGGAGTTTAGTGGCAAATAATTTATGCCTAAATCCCCAACTTGTTTGTGATTGAGGCGTATTAGTTAGTGTTGTTATGGGTTTGAGCTGAAATTATGTTCATCTTCTGATCATTGAATATGACCAGAGAAAACTATAAGAATATATATGTTCACAAGTAAAGTCCTTATTTTTCCTGGAATGGGGAGGATTGGGGTGAGCTGAGGCAGTAGATTCAGGTTTTGCTTGAAAATTTGATGTTTTTGTTACTCCCTCCGTCCTGTCCCAATTTGGTTATACATTTTTATTTATTGGGATTTATTAAAGAGAAGAATCAAAATTATGAGTTAAGAGAAACACGTGGTGTCATATTGAATTTTGTGTTAACGAAAAAAATTAGAGGCATAATTATAGTATTCGAAAAGAGTAAAAGTGGGTTCTACGCAACTTTTTCTAGTATCTAAATTGTATTAAAATCTTCTATTTAAAGAGAGTGGGTCACATTTTGGGGCAACCTTAAAAAAGAAGAGTAGGACTAGCATTTTGGGAGGAAGGAGTATTAATCGGCATCAGTAAGGGCGCACTTAAGACTTGAAGTTAGGTGTAAACACAATCTGAATACTTCACATTGTGTAGGCATATCTTTGGCATAGGCACTAAAGCGTTAAAGCAGGCAGCTTGGCGCTCATGGTCTCTGTCTTCAAGTTGGCACTAAACAATAACTAGAGCTAGCAAAGCAGTATATATGGCTACAAAATTTCATGGATAAATGTGATAGTGAGTAAGAGTAGAAACTTAGATGATAGATATGTAGTGTAGATATTTATTTTGTATACTGCTTGTATAGGAGGTTTTCTCATCAATAATATTAGTTACATTATACCATAAAATAAAAAATTGCACCTTGCTTCTGGATCAAAAAGTAAAAATTTTTGAATTTGATTGGCATGGTTCTAACTCCCTATATTTCACTTAATTGAAGTTATCATTTCTTTCTTTTCCATGTAATTGTTGTTTGTATTTATAGTTATTTTTTTCCTGCATTACATATTTGTTTCTTTTTTTTCCCCTTCATTGATGCCTTTCTTTATTAAAGCACAAGCTTTAATTGTACTTTGTTCTTAAAGTTTCAGCATACCTTGATGCATTTCTATGTTTTTGCTTTTCACAACATCGTCTCCAGTTATCAGAATTTTGTACCGTACTGTACTGTTTGCTTCTCTTTTGGATTTCTAAGATTCTTCAGCGACCTGAAGGCAGTGATTTCTATTTATCAACTTCTTGGCTGCCAATGTGCCTCATTAATGGAAAAAGAGGTTAAATTCAGATTACTCCAATCTGGGGCAAATCTTCCAAGAATTCACCTAATTTTTTCTCTTTGGGATTTAAAATATACTGGTGGCAGTTAACGTTCATGTAATTTTGGTTCATTCTTCACATTCCAATTTCCACCTACTGTAATTTAATTATTTTTTTGGAACTTTAAATTTGTCTGCTGCCTAATAGGCAAATGTCAAGACACTATTATTTGTTTCAAATTCTAATTAAATCACCTATATCAAAGGATTGCTTCAAAAGGATATATTGTAACATTGTCATCTTAATCTTGTAGGCCATAGCAGGCTTCATGTCTCAGGTCATGGGAGAAAAAGCGTCATTTGATCCATCACGAATGGTGTTAACATCTGGTGCAACTCCAGCCATTGAGCTTCTGTGCTTTTGTTTGGCTGACCATGGGAATGCTTTGCTTGTTCCCACACCCTATTATCCTGGGTATTTTTTCAATCTGATCTAAGATAATATCATGTTGTCTTTTTTCAACTCCTATATTTCTCTTTCCTCTCCCTCTCCCTCTTCCTCTCCCTCTCCCTCTCCCTCTGTATATGTATGCACACAGGTGAGCTCGTATGTAACTAGATTCTATCTGCAGGTTTGATAGGGACATAAGATGGAGAACTGGCATAGATCTAATACCTGTTCACTGTCGTAGCTCCGATGCCTTCCTAGTGAACATCACTGCTCTTGATCAAGCATTTAGTCAGGCAAGAAAGCGAGGGCAAAAGGTCCGTGGAATACTTATCTCAAACCCGTCGAACCCTGTAGGGAACATACTGAGTAGGGAAATGCTACATAGTCTCTTAGATTTTGCGAGGGAGAAGAACATCCATGTAATATCAGATGAAATATTTGCTGGATCTAATTACGGTAGTGAAGAGTTTGTAAGCATGGCTGAAATTCTTGATGAAGAGGACCCTGACAGGGACAGGGTTCATATAATATATGGATTATCCAAAGACCTTTCTCTTCCAGGGTTTAGGCTCGGTGTTCTGTATTCCTTCAATGAAAATGTTGTGGCTGCATCTAAAAAGTTGACAAGATTTTGTTCCGCTTCAGCACCAACACAGAGGCTATTAGTTGCAATGCTTTCAGATGCTGGGTTCATCCAGGATTATGTGAGAACAAACAGAGAGAGATTGCGAAAAGTGTTTGACTTATTTGTGGCAGGTCTAAAACAATTTGGCATCGAATGCATGAACAGCAGTGCAGGTCTGTATTGTTGGGTTAATATGAGCAGTTTGATTTGCCCTTATAATGAAAAGGGAGAGCTTGAGCTGTGGGAGAAGCTCTTGAATGTAGCTAAGATAAACGTGACTCCAGGGTCAGCTTGCCATTGTATTGAACCTGGATGGTTCAGATGTTGTTTTAGTACGTTAGCAGAAAAGGACATTCCTGTAGTTATGGAACGGATACGTAAAGTTGTTGAGCGTAGGTAGGCCCCCAGCTTAAATGTTTATAGCTTTAAAATAGGATTGCCTCTGTTAGTTATATCATCTATTTCTGAGAATGAGCGGTTCCTATTCTGGAATTCAAAGTATGCATCATTGACACTTTATACAAAAGTTGCACTCATGTTACCAATTTACAATTCCAAGCAGTACGGTAGAGTGTTACATATTTCACAAGTTTAAAATTGAGCATGGATAACAGAGATGACTTTCAAGGTGACATGGTATAACTTAGCCCTTTCCAAAGTTGTGCCCAACTGTGAATCAAGATGCGCATCTTTCAGATTAGTTTGAGTTGAAATTGCCTCTTCCACTTGTTGTGCAGCTCTCCGATGCTATTGCCAATTCCAAAGATGCAGCATCCAAAAGCATTATCGTCCATCAGTTCCTGCAACAAGTATTATAATAGATGTCTTACAAATTGCAACCTTTGTTGAAATATGTTGTTCTACATATAAAGAGGATTAATTAGAAAACATCTTACTGCTATTTAATGTAAAGTTTTACGCCTGTGTTTACTAGCTTTTGGGTTAAACAGGATAAGTGATTGAAGTTCTCCAGAGCACTACCTTAGAGACGCTCTGCTTCTGCATTTGTACGGTCTTCCTCTGGTAACTTCTTCGTCGGCTCATCATTATTAGCTCGCCTAGAGTTAGTGGATGCCTTATTTTGATGCTGCAGTTGACGCGATCTAGATTGTTGTTAAGTGCTTTTGGAGGATCATGCGAACCTCCTTTTTCAGGGTAGCTGCTGTTTTGAAGAAAGCTTGAATTAGGTGATAACAGAGGAAAGAGCTTTTCCAGCAAAGCAGGCCCAACTAGACTTGTCGTTCCGGTTGCATAACTGAGAGCGCTGCTGCCGGTTTCAGAAGTTGGTGAAAGAGGACTCTTCAGCTGGCTGTCGTGTATGTCTGCTGTCGGAGAAGCTTGCTCCACAGGAATAGCCCCTGAAATGTCCACAGTTGGTACGAGACCATTAGCTAGGAGGGAAGGGGCTGAGCTGAAGGATTCATATGTTGATTCAGAATCAGATGCCTCAACTTCTGATTCTGACATCTCATTTTCTTCATGATAACCATGCTGATTGATGTAATCGCCTATGCCAGCCCAGAAGTTGCCTCCACTTTCTTGCAAATCTCGAACAGTTGAAGGGTAGCCAATGATATTTTCCTGTGGAGATGTATGGGAGAAGAAAGGACGTGGTGTTCCTGGCTTTTCTTCCCATTCAAAGGGGACAGAGGCGATGAGCTTAACTTGGGGTGTAAATGTAAACGTATTAGTAGTAGCCATAGGCGTTGGTTTCCAATCCTTTATTGGTATTCCTGGTCTTTCTTCCCAGATAAATGGAATGGAAATTTGTTGTCTCTCTCTCTTAGTGGTGGAATTCCCAGAAGGGTTGTTTTCTGCCATTGGAGGAGTGTATATTGTCATAGCCATTTTCGTTTATTGCTGAGCAAACAGCATACATGATACATATATAGCAGAAGCTAAGTGGGTTAGAGACGTTTGCAACTAAACCTACATGCCAACCGCACCATTTCAGCAAAGAAAGATTAGGCAAACGTACTGTCTGTTATATATATATATATATATATATATATATATATATATATATATAACAGACAGTATATATATATATATATATATATATATATATATATATATATATATATATATATAATATATATATATTATAAAAGACAGTATATATATATATTAATATTTATTAATATATATATATATAATTGTCTCTTTTTCACACACTCGTGTGTGAAGAATTCTTTGACTAACGATTTTTGGCATATTCTTTTTCTCGAAGAAGCGTGCTTTCATAGCCAATTGAAGAACCGGTCAACAAACTTGATTAACCTTACCAAACTAAAACTTTTGCTTTTCCTTTTTTCAATATTAAATGTGAAAGATATGCAAATTAATGAGTTTTGTTACTAAAAAATGGTAGGAGATAGCATCTTAAAATTATTTCTTTTAGCATTTTAATAATGCGTACAAACAAACCGAAATACGAAATATTTATCCGATTCAAACATCAAAATCCGATTCGAATTTAATTTGTTTTGGTTTCGAAATGCAATTTATAAAATTCGAAATGCAAAATATAATCTCTGAAAGGTGCCAAATCCGATCTGTTCCATGAGCATACCTAAGTTGGATGAGGTATTTTGGTCTATTCAGAACTAAGACTTTTCAGCCATAAGCCTTGTAGCTTATAGGAACTCTTCGGTATTGCAAGTTTCATACGGTGCATTTAGCTAATCGTATCATTGATAGCAATTTTACTTTCTCATAAAATATATATGAAAATGTGCTTTTAGAAAGGCTTTCTAGTTTTTACTAGAAAATAGAGGCGATAATTACATACGAAACATCTGCAAAGGAAAAAAAATCTTTTGATACGGTATTTTTCTCTAACGAGATGAATAATCTAATTTTTAAAGATTTATATGTAACATATAGTCTGTCTATCATAAGATTTATAAGTATTTCACAACATTTTATCATTTTCTTAATTTTTATTATTCTAAAAACCTTTTTTTCCGTAAGTGAATATATTTGCTGTTAGGGTAATATATCGTGATCTATTTAACAACCAAGACAAGCAAACTTAACGTCCAAAATATTTTGTTTAAGATTTTAATTTTAACAATTCTTGTACATCTACAAAAAAGAAATATTATTTATCATCTAATGAATTTACAAAGAATAATATTGTGGTAAAAGATACATCTTTCATTATATTTTTGTGGCCGTGAAATGTACGCAATACTCCCCATAATATTTTAGTAATTACTGACAATGAAGGAAAATAAAGTTTAAGCAGAGCATATGCTATTTCGGGGCATGCAATTTTTTCTTTTTTGAATAAATAATCTAGAGTTACTCACTGGATGAGCACCTAAGTGGCCTGGCATGTTAGAGATGCAGGTCTATATCCACCAAGCCAATCTCTTTTTTCTTCCCTTCGCCCCAACATTCTTCTTCCCCTCAAATATTTAATTAGAAAAAAAAAAAAAAAAAGAGAGAAGAAGAAGAAGAAAAACACAGTGATATAGAATAGAAAAAACAATTAGGCAAAGCTTAATATAATAAGAAAAATTGGCACCACGTAACAACCTATAATAAAAATTGGTAAATTTTTGGCCTTAGATTACATTTGGCAAAGGCAGCCCCAAAATATTGGCATGGTAAGCCAAATCCTAAAAAAAAAACTACTTCCCTATTTATTCTCTCCCCATAACCCACCTCTACTTCTCTTTGTCGTCTCCCTCTTCCTCTCTCTCCCTTTATTTCTTATGTCTCTCCACTCTCGATGAATTAAAGTTTCACTTCTGTTGCAACGACAAGCCTTTGCAAGATAGTATTAAAATAATTATTAATATATTAAAACAAGAGCATAAATATATCAAGATATCCCAAGAGTGATTCAAACGAGATCTAATTTGTTTCTCATGAATTGCTGAGTCTGTGCAAATTATTTAAAATGGATTTAAACCTCATGTTACATCCAAATTCCAAAGTATCGAAACTCGAAAGCAAAAGTCACAAAAGGGTAAATGAGGGGTTGTTGATCGCCGCTATTGCGGCATCGGATTTTGGATGGAGGTTTTGCTTTTCTCCATTAGGTTTTGGTGCTAGAATGGAGTATTAAAGTGCCATTTTTTTTAAAACTTTTTTGGTATTTCATGAATTTAGGACAACATATTGGTAGTCATGATTAATACATCCCTAAAATTGGCATTGGACAGAACTTCATTCTTTTTTCCTCTTCTTTTTCTTTTGATTAAGAAATGAATTCTAATTCTCATTTCGTATATCAATATATCTCTAACAAATATATTTATGTACATCCGCAAGAAACCACATGTTATACACTAAAATATACAAAGAAAAAAAACTTCTATTTACATTTTGATATACAAAAAAAAATTGATATACATTTTGATATACATTAAGAATAAAATAAAATTGTAATATATATTTGGTATACACATTATTTGATGTGTTATACACTGCGATATATAAAAAATATAATTATTTTCGTTATGATATACATTGATATAGAGATAAAAATAAATTTTTAACTAACTATAATAAAGAAGGAAAATAAAATTTTAATATATATTTTAATATATAAAAAAGAAGAAAAATAAAGTTGTGATATATATTTTGATATGCATATTATTGTTGTGATATAGATTTATGGGCTATTTGGTGCCAATATCTATAACTAAGGCTATTTTCTACCAATTATGTAAGTACATTGTCACACCATGCCAAAACCCTTGGCACCACGTAACAACCTATAATAAGGGCTATTTTCTACCAATTGTGTGAGACATTGTCACACCATGCCAAAACCCCATATAATAAAGTCTAGATATAAAGACGGCCCAGGAACAACAGCCAATACCAAGAATTAGATTAAAATTAGGGATTTTTTCATTCCTATACACTATTTGAAACTTTATTACGCTAAATGTTCATGTTTAGTAAATTACCCTACCTACACAAGTTTTGTTTACAAAATATATACATTCCACCTTAAAAGGCTCCCAATCCATTATTAGTGCCTTCAATTAAGGGATTTAGTTACACCCTTTACCTTTTTGTTTTTATTTTTTTTCTCTTCTTCTCTTTCCTTATTTTTCTGATGCACTATACTAATCTGTTCCTAATGCTGGACTTCACCAATGGTAATCACTGCTTCTTCAGCTTAATATTTTGCTCATCTCCTTTGTAATTTACATTATGAGTCTTGTAGTGCACCTCCTAAGCTTAGGAATGGATGTGTTTGGTTGTAGTGAAGCCAACTGTGGTTGTGCAATAAAGATGGCTCATAGTAATTAGTGATGGTAATTGTATAGTGATGACGAACAAAATCATAGTAAAAGATTGCTTTCACTAAAATCTCAAACTGGACAACGTCTTAATACATTTTATTTCATGAATATGAACTATCTCATAAAATTCTTCACTAACTAGACTTGTGGGCAAATAGTATTTCTAGAGAAAAAAAAAAGCATGTGAGATATCAAAACAGCAAAATCTTTGAAGAAGGAAAAGCATGCAGTGTACTGCCTAACAAGACAAACTGGAAGANGAAACTATAAATTTTGGAAACTGAAGAATAGAGAGCGCTTTGCTTCAGAAGTTGTTACCGCACAGAAAGAATATTTTTGCCCTTTTTGCACTATTTATGTAGCAATTCTTTCATCTCATTGCTTCTCTTTGTTCAAATTTAAAATTTTTTTCCGAATATTGTAATTGAGTCGTGTTTTATACTGAAGAACTACTCTTTACTCAGAGCAAAAGTTCTAGCCAGAAGAAATGTAGTTATTAAAAGACACAACTCAAATCAACACCAGTAAAAGTCAAGTTGACGGAAAGCAAAGAAAATGTGTGAAATGTGGAATTAAGAAGAAAAAAAAGGAGGTGAGGTAGGGACCTAACAGATATTATTTGGTTTGATTAATAGGAGGTGTGGTGATGTACAACTGCAATATCATACAACTTGAATACAATTTTTATATAAAATTTATACAATATGTATTTTGTATATTTTGTATTTGATTTATACATAGTAAAAATAAATTACATACAACTAATTATATATTATACAATTTATCTACAACTTTCACACATTATTTCCACCCAGTTAAATACAATTACAATAACATACAACTTAAATACAAATTTTATACAAAATTTATATAATATGTCTTTTGTATATTTTGTATCTGATTTATACATAGTAAAAACAAATTTTATACAACTAATTATATATTATACAACTTATCTACAATTTTCATACATTATTTCTACTCAGTTATATACAACTACAATATCATAGGACTTAAATATAATTTTTATACAATGTTGTTCAACTTTCATACAGTAGTTAAATAAATAAATAAAATATATATAAACAACAGAATACAATTTTTTACAATTTCTACAATTTTACTACAATTTTGTAAATATAATGTATATCATGTCGTCTTCTTCTTCTTCTTCTTCTTCTTCTTCTTCTTCTTCTTCTTCTTCGAGTTTCAATCTTAAATTCAGCCAAAACCAAGTCTAATCTTCACCAAAACCCCTCAAAATTGAGATATAAACTCCAAACCATATTCCTAATTGTTTGCAACAACACCCAATCCAAACAAATAATGATTTTTGAAAACCCAAATTCGAATTCAAAGCTTTGAAGCTTTTTAATGGCTGTCAATGGTGGAATTGCTGCTCTCTTTTCCTTTGCTTTACATTACTGAAATTAGGGATTAAAAGATAGAGAGAGAGACGTAGAGAGAATTTCCAATTCTTTGCAACAACATCCAATTCAAACAAATAATGTTTTTTGAAAACCTAAATTCGAATTCAAAGTTTCAAAGCTTCAAAGCTTTTTGATGGTTGTCAATGGTGGAATCGTGGATGAGTGCAAGATACGTGGGAGAGAGGGGTGGGATGTGGAGAGAGAAACATGGGGGAGTGGAAGATACGTTAGAGTAATTTTAGGACACTAATTATTATCATTAATTCCCTTAAAATGTACATAAATAGTAATTAGGTATATAAAATATAATTATGGTAAAACTTGAGCAGGGAGGGTAATATAGTTTCATATAGTGTATATGAATGTAAAAATTCCTTACCTTCCAAGTTCATTGAAAAACAATTTATTTGATGCTTAAATTTTACTACGACGACGGCCAAAAAAATTTTCAATGAACTGCCAAGGATTCCCAGTCAAGGCAGAGATTCAAATACTAGTTCAACCAAAGATGACAATCTACCATCCATTCACGAAACAATTGAAACAGAGCATGAGAATTGGCGTATTATATATTGTCGTGACTTTAGGTGGATAGCCAATATCAGAAATGAAGGAGCGTGTCTATTATCCTATCATATTGACAACCACCCTTCCACATACGACTTATGAGCAAGTTAAATAATTAAAGGTACTTGAGGTCTCATTGGTCTTCTATTGGATGGACAGTCAACTCACACATCATACACCATTAAAAAAGAACGTGCAGAGAATCTAACGCCTTCTTTGGGGCAAACTTTCAGAAGACTTATTAGGCGTTTGGACTTAAAAGTAGTATAATTTTTGAAATAAGAAAAGGGAGTAGTATTTGGTATTAAGTTGAAAAATAGTATTTGAAATTATGTTATGTTTAGACATGATAAATATTGCAATTTTGTGAGTGGGGAAAAAAAATTCTAAAAATTTTGAAAAGGTGATCAAGACCAGTTTTTGGTTTTTTAAAAAGCTCATATTCAAAAAAAATTCAAAAACTTGCAAAATTTTATGGACAAACACATTTTTAATTTTATTTTTGAAAAAAGGAAATCTTTTTTTTTTTTTATGGAGAAATGGGGCCTTAATAAAGTCAAGTCGCCTGCCTCTGGAAAATTTATAGCCCATTATTCAGGCACTGGTTTGCCCCAATTGGCCTCTTCCCGACATCCTTAACAAATTTTTTTGAGAAATTTTCATAAAGCATTATCTTTTAGTGGTAATTAGCTATTTATAGATACCATTTGCTATATTACAGATTGTAGATACCTTTTCTGTTGTTATAAGATGTATTTGATGTATTTAAGCTACTATATTCATGAATACAGTAGCAAAAATAGGCGTGAATCAGGGAAGTCCAGCTAATCAATTGTTGTATTCGTGTGTATTCGACTGTATTCATAGCGTGAAACATGGGATTACAACTGGACATATTATTGTATTCGATTGTATTCACAGCGTGAAACAGGGGATTACACTGTTTTTAAACGGAAAGTGAATCAATTAACATAATAGACTCCTAATATAACTCAATAAACTCAATTATAACACACAAAATTTATATTTCCAATTATAAAAAAGATTCTCAACCGAAATATACCCCAAAAATATAGAAATCTTCAGAGAAATATATAATACATCTGAATACATAAATTATATTAATTAAAAAAAATATATGAATACATTCATGGCATATAGCGAGACAGTGAATACAATGAAATACATAGAATACAGCGGGATACATTGAAATATAATGAAAAAAAGACAGTGAATATAATGAAATACATGGAATACAGCGAGATATATTGAATTACAATGAAAGAAAAGACAATGAATACAATGAAATACAGCGTGATACGTTGAAAAAACATTGAAATATATTAACAAAAAATTAAGTTGCTCAGCCCCAAACTCCACCGTCTTTGTTCAAGAACAAACCCTAATTTCCGGCGAATCCGCCATCGGGCAAAAACCCTGAATCTCACTGTTCCCACGCTCGGTTTGCTGATAACATTCGGAGTAGGTTTCACATTGAAGCCATGTAATGTCACCACCAGTGTCAATAGCCATGTAGAATTCCTTCACCGGTTGTCCTAATCCGACCCGAGCAAAATACTCGCCACTGCCTTCACTTATTCCAGAAGTAACAGGGGCCTGGATTTCTTCAAGTTGAAGCATAGTAGTGAGTGAGGAAGCTAGTCGGGAGAGAGTGAGAGATGTGTAGTTTTTGTGTTGGGTTTTTGTAAGAGAAGAACGAGGATATATTGATACAGAGAATGCTGAAGAAGAAGAAGAATCTGAAAGAATGAGAAAGAAAAATAATGTAAAGCGTATTTTATGGCTTAAGGGTAGGAGGTAACCATAAATAGATATTTGGCTATAAAAATTAAAAGGTAGCTATGGAATATAATTTTTTAAAATGGTATTTATTTAAAATAAATAAGGTATCAACCTTTGCTATAGGAGGTAAAAATTCCAATTTTATCCCTATTTATGCTGACCACTTCATTCCTTTATTTTATATGCAGTTTTAATTATATACTACAAACATCAGTTGTATCCGTGGAGAAAGCCAACTCTTTTATTCTTTGTGTTGTCTTGCAATTACTCTACTTGTTAGTGGCATGCATGGCAACAAACATAAGCACAGATAAATCAGCTCTTCTTGCCTTAAAAGCCAGAGTTACTCTAAACTCTTCTCATTCCTTAACCCAAAATTGGTCTTCTCAATCTTCAGTCTGTGACTGGATTGAAGTCACTTGTGGATCTCGCCACCGCAGGGTGAGAGCACTCAATATATCAAACATGGACATTGTTGGAACCATTCCGCCAAAGTTGGAAAACCTCTCGTTTCTTGTTTCTCTCGATGTGAGCAAAAATAATTTGCATGGAGACATCCCTCAAGATTTGTCTCGTTTACGTCGATTGAAGGTGATTGATCTCGGATAAAATAACTTGCAAGGTACATACTGTTATGTCGAGGAAGAGGCAAACCCGAAAATAAAGAAGATAAAGAACACCAAATTTTAACGTGGAAATCCCTTCAAATCGAAGGTAAAAACCACGGGATCACAAAGATCCAAAAAGCTCCACTATAACAATAAGAGGGTTACAAAAGTTCTCCAAATTGGCTACACAACAAGGGCCAAACACGGAGCAACAATAGCAACAAGAGCAACAACTAATCAATTGAAGAAAGAGTATAATCCACAAAACGAAGCTGCTGTTCGAGGCTCGAAATCAGATACTATGAGCCTCCAAATCCGATCCACCGTTCAAATCCAAGATCAAGATGTTATGAACATTCAGTCAAAATTTCAGCCCGATCCAACGGTTAACGAATCGGAAAACTGATTTGAAGTTGGCTGGTCGGAATAAAAATCTGCAGCAAAACAAATACTTTTTTTCTCTCTTCTCTCTTGATGAAAGCTCTCTCAAAACCCACTCAAAATGAGTGGTGCTTTCTCTTAAAGCCAAAACCCACTCAAAATAGGAATAAACCGAATCCAATTCCAAATAGTATTGGAAACCAAAGGAGAATAGGATTAGGCCATTGGGCCTTTGGCTGGACAACATGGGCATGTGCCCAACAAACTCCCCCTCCAGCCAAGGGGCCAAATGTGTCTTCAAGTAGAGGAACTATTGACAGGCTTTATGCCTGCCAATTTTCTACAAAATTCATGTTTATCTGCAACCACCGCTTTGTCAGCATATTCGAAGGATTTTCATCAGTGTGTATCTTCTCAACCTCAAATAATTTCTCTTCCACGGCCATTCTTATCCAATGATACTTTCTATTTATATGTTTGGTCTTATAATGAAAAGTGGAGTGCTTGGTGAGACAGATAGCACTCTGATTACCACAAAATAAGATGTACCGTGGCTGCTCAAAGCCAAGATCATTAATAAACTCCTTCATCCATAATAGTTCTTTGGCACCTTCTGTGACAGCAATATACTCGGCTTCTGTGGTGGATAGAGCTATGCACTTCTGTAGTCTAGATTGCCAAGAAACAGCCCCCCCTACAAAAGTGATCAAATAACCGGAAGTGGATCTTGAATTATCAAGATTGCCTCCTAAATCAGAGTCTGTGTAACAAACAAGTTCAGGCTTGCCATTGCCAAAGCACAGCTTCAAATCTGCAGTACCTTTTACATACCTTAATATCCATTTTACTGCATCCCAATGTTCTTTTCCAGGATTGGAAATGAATCTGCTAACAGTGCCAACGGCATGTGCAATATCTGGTCTAGTGCAAACCATAGCATACATCAAGCTACCAATGGCAGAAGAGTAAGGAATACGAGACATCTCCTTTTTCTCTTCATCAGTAGATGGACTCTGACTAATACTCAATTTGAAGTGTTTAGCAAGAGGAGTACTAACCACTTTTGCATTTGTCATATTGAACCTCTTGAGTACCTTCTCAATGTATTGCTTTTGGGACAAAAATAACTCATTTCTATCTCTGTGTCGGTGGATTTGAATGCCCAAGATTTTCTTTGCTGGCCCCAAGTCCTTCATCGCAAACGATTTGCTCAACTGCTTCTTAAGGACTGCAATTCTGGATTTATTCTTTCCAACAATAAGCATGTCATCCACATAAAGCAATAAAATAATAAAATCATCATCAGAGAACTTCTGGAAGAATACACAGTGGTCTGAAGAAGTTTTCTTGTACCCTTGTTCTTCAATGACAGATTCAAACTTCAAATACCATCGCCTTGGAGCTTGTTTCAATCCATACAGGCTCTTTTTCAATTTGCAGACATAATTTTCTTTTCCCTTAGTTACAAAACCCTCAGGTTGCTCCATATAAATCTCCTCATCTAAATCACCATGAAGAAAAGCAGTCTTGACATCCATCTGCTCAACCTCTAAATCTAGACTTGCGGCTAAGCCTAGAACCACACGAATAGAAGACATCTTCACAATAGGGGAGAAAATTTCATTAAAGTCAACTCCCTTCTTCTGGCCAAAACCTTTAACAACTAACCTCGCCTTGTATCTAGGCGCAGATGTATGGTTATCTTGCTTTATTCTGAATATCCATTTGTTAGATAAAGCTCTCTTACCTTTCAGCAATTTCACTAACTCATATGTGCCATTCTCATGGAGTGACTTCATCTCATCTTCCATTGCTTTGATCCAATGATCTTTGTGATTATCTTGCATGGCTTCATCATAATTCTCAAGTTCTCCCATGTCAGTCAAAAGTACATACTCATCAGGAGGATAGCGCATGGATTTTTGCTTCTCCCTTGTAGATCTTCTAAGAGAGGTTTCAGGAGCATTCGTAGTAGTTACCTGTGCAGGAATTGGTTGCTGATCAACCACAACTTCATCAACTGGAGCATCCATAACATCTACACCATGATGATCATTTTGATCTTGATCACTATCTCCATCATTGTCTTGGGTTCCTTCATGTGCAATAGGTGCCTTAGCAATTGAAACTGGATCAATATCAACTAAGCTCTCATTACTCTGAGAATCTATCTTCTCAGCTTTGTCAATATCTTCAATAGTTTAGTCTTCAAAGAATATTGCATCACGACTTCTAATAAGTTTACTATCAATTGGATCATAAAAACGATACCCAAACTCATCTTGACCATAACCGATAAAGATGCACTGCTTAGTTTTGACATCCAGTTTCGATCTCTCATCTTTAGGAATATGCACACAAGCTTTACACCCAAAAACTCTCAGGTGATCATAAGAAACATCTTTGGCAAACCAAACTCTGTCTGGGACATCACCATCCAAAGCAACAGCATGAGACAAATTGATAACATAGGCAACAATGTTAAGTGCTTCCGCCCAAAATGTATTTGGAAGTTTAGCCTCTGAAAGTAAGCATCTAACTCTCTCAACTAGAGTTCTATTCATCCTCTCTGCCAAACCGTTCAATTGAGGCGTCTTGGGCGGAGTTTTCTGATGACGAATTCCTTGTTCCTTGCAATAGTTATCAAAGGGACCACAATATTCACCACCATTGTCAGTGCGAATACATTTTAATTTCTTCCCCGTCTGTCTCTCAGCTAAGGCCTGAAATTCCTTAAACACGCCAAGTGCTTGATCTTTAGATTTCAAAGGATACACCCAGAGCTTACGAGAATGATCATCAATGAAGGTCACAAAGTAAAGTGCACCACCTTTTGACTTTACTTTAAAAGGACCACACAAATCAGAGTGTACTAGCTCTAATAAATCGGGCTTTCTTGAGGGAGGATGGCTATGAAAGGAAACCCTTTTCTGTTTACCAGCTAAACAATGTATGCACCTTTGCAGCTTTGCTTGTTTTACTCCAGAAAGCAAACTTTTCTTAGCCAAACACGTAATCCCTCTCTCACTCATATGACTCAATCTTCGATGCCACAATTCTGACAAACTATCACTTTCCACCAGATTTATTGAGTCATTAAGAATAGAGCCTTGTGTCACATATAATTGACCAGACTTGACTCCTCGAGCCACTACTAACGAGCCCTTGGTGAGCTTCCATTGGCCGTTAAAGAGAGAATTATGGTAACCTTCATCGTCTAATCTTCCTGCGGAGATCAAATTGAAAGGAAAGTCTGGAGCACGCTTCACATCTTGAAGAACTAACGTTGAGCCATTATTAGTTTTGAAACAAACTGTGCCAACACCAAACACCTTAACTTCACTGGCATTGCCCATCTTTAACACTCCAGAATCAACATGAGTATAAGATGAGAAAAAATCTTTTCTTGGTGTGACATGTGAGGTAGCTCCAGAATCTACTATCCAGCTCGTCTCATGGGATACCAAATTGATGACGTTTTCATCATAAACAAAAATAAGGTCATCTTGAACAATAGCAGCAACATTGTTCTCGTTATTTTCAACTTTCTTTCCTTCTATAGTGTCTTGATTCAACTTGCGGCAAAACCTTTTGATGTGTCCTTTCTAGCCACAGTGGTTGCATGTAACATTATAGTATTTGGACCTTGACTTACTTCTACTTTTACCTCTATTCCTTGAGCCTCTTGTTCTATCTCTCCCCCGGTCTTCTATAACCAAGATATCTGCTTGTGAGGATGAACCCTGCGATTTTCTCCTTACTTCCTCGTTCAACACACCACTCTTGGCATATTCCATGGTCACCTTACCTCTAGAAGCTGAATTTGTCAAAGAAACACGAAGAGTTTCCCAAGAGTCTGGCAGAGTATTAAGAAGCCAAAGTCCTTGTATCTCATCATCAAAATTAACCCCCATTCCAGATAGCTGATCAAGGACGCCCTGAAAATCATTTATGTGATCAAGGATAGGGCTGTCTTCCTTGTATTTAAAGGTCATCAATTGCTTTAGCAGAAACAATTTGTTGTTCCCGGTTTTGAAGCATAAAGAGTCTCTAGCTTTTCCCACAATGATCTCGCATGTATCTCGTTCACAATATGGTTGCGAACATTATCTTCAACCCATCGCCGTATATATCCATATACTTGTTGGTGCTCAAAATCCCAATCTTCATCGGATATACTCTCGGGTTTATGAGCTGAAAAAACGGGTAGATGCATCTTCTTCACGAACAACAAGTCTTTCATCTTGCTTCTCCAAACATTATAATTTCTCCCATTTAAACATACCATCTTGCTCATATTCGCCTCCATTCCGTAATAACCCGGATAAATAACCAAGGCTCTGATACCACTGTTATGTCGAGGAAGAGGCAAACCTGAAAATAAAGAAGATAAAGAACACCAAATTTTAACGTGGAAAACCCTTCAAATCGAAGGTAAAAACCACGGGATCACAAAGATCCAAAAAGCTCCACTATAACAATAAGAGGGTTACAAAAGTTCTCCAATTGGCTACACAACAAGGGCAAAATACGGAGCAACAATAGCAACAAGAGCAACAACTAATCAATTGAAGAAAGAGTATAATCCACAAAATAAAGCTGCTGTTCGAGGCTCGAAATCATATGCTACAAGCCTCCAAATCCGATCTTCACCGTTCAAATCCAAGATCAAGATGTTATGAACACTCAGTCAAAATTTCAGCCCGATCCAACGGTTAACGACTCGAAAAACATGATCTGAAGTTGGCTGGTCGGAATAAAAATCTGCAGCAAAACAAATACTTTTTTTCTCTCTTCTCTCTTGATGAAAGCTCTCTCAAAACCCACTCTTATGTGCTTAAGTCTTTCAAAGACTTGTATCAATGAGCATAGAATAATTCTCCAAGGTTGTCCTATTTATAGATCATGAGTGGTGCTTTCTCTTAAAGCCAAAACCCACTCAAAATAGGAATAAACCGAATCCAATTCCAAATAGGATTGGAAACCAAAAGAGAATAGGATTAGGCCATTGGGCCTTTGGCTGGACAACATGGGCGTGTGCCCAACACATACTTGATAGGACTAGTACTTTTCTCAGTTTGCATTTAGAATGCTTTGTTAGTATTCATAAATATAGAAATTTGTGATGTTAATAGGTGTAGCATTGCATTTTAATTCAAGAAGTCGTGTTGCTCTGCCCTCATAATAATAGCCCCAGCTGGGTCGAACACCGGGTTCATCTTAACCTAGTACTTTCGACGCAGAGTATAAATTTATATTTCAAAATCCAATAAATTTGCAATAAATAGTAGGTCTGAACCCATATTTTTAAAGTTGAACCCATAGAACCTAAACCCTAAATTCGCCCCTGCTCTATTTACAATACTAGGTAGACGATTGACGTATATGATGTTTAGTTGGATGAACCATCAACCTTTAAGAATAACTTCTGCAAAAAATAGAATTATTTTCAAAATAACCACTAAGGGAACACCTTTTTCAATACAACAACTAAATATCAGTCCCAAAATAGTTGGGTCGGCTATATGTTTCATCATTAACTATGTTAGTGCATTTAAACTGATCTCACGTGGAACAACTTTTTCAATCGCTTTCTTTTTTAGATTCTATGGACTTGAACTAATAAGTCTATCCTTGATTATATGCCTCTTTGGCTTTATTTCCCAAACTAAACCTTGCACGCATGTAATCATCTAATCCATATTGAAAAGCCTTCTAGTACGGGCATGTGAGAATTAACATTTGGTCTCTATGCATGATATATATATATATATATGTTGCAGGTGTTATACCCGGAGAGATTGGGAAGCTTCACAAGTTGGAGACATTTTAATAAATTAAGTGGTTCCATACGGGAAGAGCTCTTCAATATCTCTACGCTAAGAAGGATGTCACTTGCATCCAATAACCTTTCGGGTAGTCTTCCATCTGCTTCAACCTACTGGCAAACGAATCTACATTGTCTGCATCTAGGTAATAACAGCATAGATGGAGTTATACCCAGCTCAATCTCCAATTCTTCAAATCTAAGGGAATTACATCTTTATGATAACAAATTCAGTGGCCCGATTCCTAATAACTCTTTGGGGGATTTGAGACAGCTTGAACGTTTGAGGTTGTTCAGAAACCACTTATCATCTCCGCACCTAAGTATCTTAACTTCTTTGGCGAACTGCACATCTTTGAAAGAGATAGAGATATCATATAATCCTCTTAATGGTGTTCTTCCAGATTCCATCAGCAATCTCCCACTTCTCTTGAACGATTTAGTTTATATTATTCTGAAATTAGGGGACAGATACCATTAGGAATTGGTAATTTAAGTAACTTAAACACTTTGTCCCTATTCGGCAATGACTTGACTGGATCAGTGCCAAGAACAGTATGTTATTTACAGAATCTTCAAGTTTTAGCTCTTGATCAAAATAGGTTAACTGGACCCTTCCCAGAGTGCCTTTGCAAATTGCCGGAATTGGGCTCCGTTAGTTTGTCGTATAATCAAATATCGGGTCCAATACCATATTGCATTGGCAATACTACCTCTTTGAGAAATATTTACCTAAATTCAAATAGGCTCACTAACATACCCATGAGTCTATGGAGCCTCAAAGATCTTCTAGTGCTTGACTTGTCCAATAATTCTTTGGTTGGTTCTTTACCTCCAGATTTTGGAAATTTGGATGCCATAACATTAGTAGATTTGTCGAGGAATCGCCTTTCAAGAAGTATTCCAACCACAGTCGGAGACTTGCAGAAACTAATTTATCTTTCTTTGGCTTTCAATGAGTTGCAAGGATTTATTCCTGAGCCACTCGGAAAAATGATAAGTTTGGAATCGGCGAATCTATGCAATAACATTCTTTCAGGTATGATTCCAAAATCATTAGAGACACTTCGGTATCTGAAGGATTTCAATGTATCATTCAATAGATTAATTAGAAGGTGAAATCCCAAGTAAAGGACCTTTTCTCAATTTCACCTCTCAGTCTTTTATGGGAAATGATGAGTTATGTGGTGGTTTCCTTTTCCGACCTTGTAAGGCTAGGTCTGTTCATCACTCATGGAGAAGCAGATTTCTTCTGATTGTACTTGTCCCATTGGTGGTTCCATTAATGGGACTTGGCTCAATTGTTGTGTTCATGTTCATGTTCAGGAGACGTAGAAATAATGTTCCAACCCAAGTCGAATCCTTACCTGCAACAACGATACTAGCCCGGATTTCATACATTGAAATCGAAAGGGCAACTCAAGGGTTCGACCAATGCAACTTGCTAGGGCGTGGAGGTTTCGGTTCTGTTTACAAGGGCATCTTTGCGAATGAGATGGTTTTGGCAATCAAAGTGTTTAATTTACAGATTGAAGGTGCATTCAAGAGTTTTGATACTGAATGTGAAGTTTTACGCAACCTTCGCCATAGAAATCTTACCAAAGTTATCAGCAGTTGTAGTAACATGGATTTTAAAGCATTACTTGTAGAGTACATGCCCAATGGAAGCCTAGAGCAATGGTTACATTCTGATGATTACTACTTGAATATGATCCAAAGATTAGACATAATGATCGATGTTACATCAGCTTTGGAATATCTCCGATCCATCATGGTTGTGCAACAGTCGTTGTACATAGCGACTTGAAGCCTAGTAATGTCTTGCTAGACCAAAGGCTGGTTGGGCACGTGAGTGACTTTGGCCTGACCAAGTTATTAGGAGAAGGGGAATCTATTGCTCATACTAACACACTTGCAACGATGGGCTATATTGCACCAGGTAACTTTCTTTTTGGTCTTTTATTATAAAGTGTTATTGTGTTAAATAGTAGTACGTAATCTTTTGTTTTCTTGTTTTGTGTAATATATCATAGATTCATGAAAAAATGGTATTGAAAACCTCAAAATATAAAGGCCATTTGGCTTAGCTAAAACAGGAATGTAGCTTTTAAGCACCAATTGCCGGAAAATCTGAAACTGATTTTATGAATAAGAAATTATACGGTTAGATAGAAGAGCTGAAACTGAAACAAACAGTTGACGTGTTTGTTAAAGAAGTGCTTATAAGAATTTTTTTCTATTAAAATAACTGAAAATGCCATTAAAGTTGTTAATATTAAAAATAGATTATTGCAAGACTTTTCATTTCCGATACAAATTATGATATCTTTCAATTCATTTTAAAGTTCTAAATTGAGTAGATAAATTAGTTTAAATGAATATAAGTAAATTATTGAAATAACATAGCAGTAATTAATATATGCTCAACTTATAGCTTTTGGCTTTTTTTTTTTTTTTAAGGGTCTTTTGGCTTATTTTGTCTTAAAAGTACTAGACTTGTAACACCTTTTTTTTTTTGCTTGCCAAACACTGATATGTTATTTGCTAGTTTTAATGTAACATATCACAGATTTTGCATAAAAAAAAGGGTATTGAAAACATGGAAATATGACAATGTCAAACTCTATATTCATGCATCTACAACGATAAAGAAAAAGAAACTTGCAGTCTTATCGTTTCATTTGATTGTCTTACTCTTGGTTCATTCCAGTTCTGCCTTCAGTTTTGTTTTTCTTTTTTTTTTTTTTTAAATTTATCTACTCAAGATAGATTTAAATTTTTTTAATATCTTTCAAATATACGGATATTACTTTCGTTTATTTATGTAGTCCGTTAAGAAACTAATTTACTCTAGCAACATTGGATCAGAGTATGGATCAGTAGGATTAGTTTCTAGAAGATGTGATGTGTACAGCACGGCATAATGCTCATGGAAACATTCACAAGAAAAAAGCCATATGATGAAATGTTTCAAGAAAATTTGAGCATGAGGAATTGGGTCTGTAATTCAATACCTGCAACACCAGAGGATATTATTGATGCCACCTTATTGGAACCACAAGAGATTGATTTCAAGAAAAAGTTGCATTGTGTGTCCTCTATTTTGGAGTTGGCTTTGAATTGCACAGCTGAATCTCCTAATGAGAGGCTGAACATGAAATATCATGAAGATCAAGCTGGAATTTCTTCGCAAATGATGTAGTAAGGTTTATGTGATGGTAAGTATCCAGCTTTTTCATCGATATTCTCATTTCATCTGGATAGAAATGATTTTTTTCTTGTCTATACCATATCAATATATAGAAGTGAACCATTTTTTTTCATACAAACATATCCCCTTGAAGTAAAAGAAAAAACAAAAAGAGAATTGAATTGAAAGACATCTTTTTTAAGAGTCTTAATTTAAGATGGGAAAACAAAAGAAAAACAAAGTCCAATGAAACTAAGAAAGAAATTTATTATGAATGAGCCAACTCAAGTTTGATCCCCTTTAAAATTTTGAACAGGTAGTGCCGCCTTTTCCTACTTGTGAGTAGTGACACCAATTGAGATGACAACCAACATGTGGTTCGAGATTTGGACTTTTATTGTTTATTGTGCTTTTCTCTTGTGCGTGTTTATGGTTTGAGTGTGAGTTGTGTGCGTGCGCTCGTGCCCTTTAATGTATCAGTGTGTACTGAAGTTGGCGTGGAAGAATGCCTTGTATAATATTGATGATCATTATAATGTAGAATCACTTTTAGAGTCGATGAAAAGCAGTGCAAAATGTTGAACTACAAGCTATAGGCTCTCTTGGTTACCAAGTTGAATGGATTTGTTCCAATTAAGAGTTAACAGCTTGACTGCAGATTGAAAGCATAACTACAGTCCAGATTTTCCACTCACTCACAAGTCACAATTGAAATTGAGACTTAAAACCCAAATATTTAAGGTGGGTCCTAATGGGTGAAAAAAAACTAAAAGACTGAAAACTCCTTTACCAAGTACTTATATCACCCGCCCAATCACTAACACTTGGCAACTAAAATCCAGTGACTCCAAGAAGAAAGCAATTTCTAGTATAAATCCAACATTGACTGGACCAAGTAGCAGTTAGTAACAAACATAAAAAATTCATTTGCAGCACAAATTTGTCTTCTCACTAACAAAGACAGCATGACATGACAGCTCCTATAATCACATACACTCTCTTTGTGGTTCAGTATGTTAGTGGTATCTTCATTAATCCCATAACTCAAAAACCAGAGATATGCTCAGTGAGAAACATGCACCTCTTTTTTCTTAAACTGTTGGTCTTTGGGCAACTGGTTTGCTAAGCCATGGCAGCAACCAAAATCACCACTGATCAATTCGCCCTTTCTTGCCCTGAAGGCTCAAATCACTTAAGACCCACAAGGTGCCTTGCCGAACAATTGGTCTACTTCTATTCCAGTTTGCCACTGAAATAGATGTTTCAAGCATGGGTGACGGGTCTTAGAGGTACAATTCCTAAAGAATTCTCTTTTCTTATTTCTCATGATATGAGTGGCAACTATTTTGTTAGGATTGAAAATTCGGGTAGTGCGGAATTTAGCCAAACAACGTTATAATGACAATAACAAAGATAATGCAAGTTGATAATAATGGTAACTAAAGCAGATAAAGAAGGCACAAAATTTAACGTGGCTCGGTCAAGGTGACCTACGTCCACAGGCGGAGAGGAGTAATTTCACTATAACAACCGGTACACAAAAGAGAGTACAAAATTAGAGATGAAACCCTAATTATCCCGAAATATATCCCAAGAGAATAACCTCGCAATAATCACTCTCAAAGAAGAGGTTCACTCAAAGTGTTTCCCAACACTAACTCTATGGAATATAATAAAACTCTCTATTTCAAGAATACTCAAAGTGAGCTTCTAATCAAAATATGGAATAATTCAAATGAAGTAAGATGGCCTATATTTATAAGGCAAAGTTCTTGGTCCCCAAGTAAACAAAAAAGAATAAAAGAAAATACTTTTATTCTTTGGCTCCAAGCTAGAATTCTTTGGCTCCAAGATTGAATAATTTAGCTCCAAGATTGAATACTTTGGCTCCAAGATTAGCCGTGAACAAATTTAGGCCATGTCCTACAAATCTCCACCTTGGCCTAAATTGGATGATATAGTTATTTTACTCCACCTCCAAAAAAGCCCCAATGGGCTTATGTCAAAAATTTAATGCCATCAAAATCAGACAAGTTGTCTGATATTGAAACTGTATAAGTGCCTATAACAGTAAATCCCAATAAAGAATACAATGAACCAGATCTGTGTGCTTTCTTCATGATCACTAGAGCGCCTTAAATTTTTTTCAGAATTCCACCTTCACTAGTGAATTTGCACCCAAGAGACTCTAAAGTGCCCAAAGAAATGAGATTTTTCTTCAACTCAGGAACATATCTAACATCGGTGAGAGTTCTCACCATACCATCGTGTATTTTAATCCGAATTATACCTTTGCCAATAACGTTACAAGTAGCATTGTTACCCAATTGGACAACTCCACCTTCAACCGAATCATATGTAGAAAACAAGTCCCTGTTGGGAGACATATGATACGAACAACCGGAATCTAAAATCCACTCATTGTCAGATTTGAAACTAGTTTCAGTAGCTAAAAATATAGTTCCCTCAATCTAATCAGTTGCTAAACTAGCTTCGGCGGTGTCAGTATCTCTGTGCTTATTTTTTCTTTCCTTATGATTTTATTTATTTTTCAACTTATAGCATTCGGAGATAATGTGACATTTCTTATGACAATAGCGACACTGTAAAATATTGTATCTGGATGTTGAGTCAGATTTACCCCTAACGAACAAGCCAACTTCCGCTTAAGTTCCACTAGCTTCCCCAGTAATATCATTATCTATCTGTTCTTTCGATTTTAAGATAGATTTAATATCCTTATAAGAGATATTATCTTTTGCATAAAGCATAGTATCTCTTATATGCTTAAAAGATGGGGGTAGAGAACAAAGCAGTAATACGGCTTGGTCCTCATCTTTAATTTCTGCATCTATATGACTCAAATCAATAAGAATGGAATCAAAGGTGTCAAGATGAGAGAGAATAGAGGTACCTTCACCCATACGAATTGTATAAAGCTTCTGCTTTAGGTAAAGTCTATTTTCCACCGTTCTCTTCATATATAAGGTTTTCAATTTTTCCCACATGCCTTTGGTTGTGGTTTCTACAGAAACTTCACATAAAACCTCATTTCAGAGATTTAAGATGATACCTGATTTTGCCTTTTTGTCTATGATAGCAAACTCCTCGTTACTCATTTTATCCGCCTTTTTCTCCTTTCCTTGCAACGCCAAGTCTAAGCCATCCTGAATTAGGATAGCTTCCATCTTTAATTGCCACATCCCGAAGTTTGCACTTCGGTCAAATTTCTCAACATAAATCTTTGTTAGAGTCATATTGGCTACTTAAACTAACCCGGTTAGATCCGGCTCTGATACCAATTTGTTAGGATCGAAAATTCGGGTAGTGCGAAATTTAGCCAAACAACGTTATAATGACAATAACAAAGATAATGCAAGTTGATAATAATGGTAATTAAAGCAGATAAAGAAGGCACAAAATTTAACGTGGTTCGGTCAAGGTGACCTACGTCCACAAGCGGAGAGGAGTAATTTCACTATAACAACCGGTACACAAAAGAGAGTACAAAATTAAAGATGAAACTCTAATTATCCCGAAATATATCCCAAGAGAATAACCTCGCAATAATCACTCTCAAAGAAGAGGTTCACTCAAAGTGTTTCCCAACACTAATT